GATGCGGGACTCGATCCCGGGACTCCAGGATCATGACCTGAGCCGAAGGCAGTCGCTTAACCAACTGAGCCACCCAGGCGCCCCCATTTACCTCAATCTTTTAATACCTACATATATGGAACAGATTACAGCCCATTATTTGACTAATCACCAATTAACAGACATTAGTTTCAACTTCCTTCAAGAGAAATTAATGCTTCCATGTACATGCTTGTAAATATTTTCAGCTGTGCAAGTACTTTTTAGAATGAATTCCTGGCAGTGAGTCGAAGAATATACATGCTTTTAAAATTTAAAAATGTCAATATGCATTAGAGAGATCTTAAAGACATATCAGCATTTAAATTTTTTAATCCTGATACATACTCTCCTCCACCTGGGCATTACCAATTTGCACTCTCATCCACAATGGTAGTGAGCGCCCATTACCCACATTCCATCACCCCTGATACGGTCCTGGGGTGGGGGGGGGCATAAATCTAACAATTAGTACATAAGGTCTGTAACTTTTCTGTATGTTTGCTTCCTTTTGTCCTTTTTTAAAAGTGCTCTCCATATTGATTTGTAGCAACCTGTAAGACATGTTGGCATTAATCCTTTGTCAAGTTGCAAACATTTTTTTCCGAGGATATTACTGGTCCATGAACTGTTTAGGATAAATAAAAGACTGATTATTTAAAAGTATTGGGGGGGGCACTTGGGTGGTTCAGTCAGTTAAGTGTCCCAACTCTTGATTTTGGCTCAGGTCATGATCTCAGCGTTGTGAGATTGAGCCCAGAGACAGGCTCAGAGTCTGCTTGAGATTCTCTGTTGCCCTCTTTCTCTGCCCCTTCCCCTCTCTAAAAAATAATAAGAAAAGAAGAAGAAAAGTCTTGGGAAAACTAGATTGACAGGGGAAAAAAGCTAGATCCTTATCTTCCTTCCAACCTAATTAACTCCAGATAAGTCAAAAGAATCACATGTGATAGATAAAGAAGCTAAAGTATGAAACCCACTAGAAGATACATAAGAATTCTTTATGACTTCTGGGTTCCATTCCTACATCCAGTGTTTCAAACTGTAGTCCTTTAACACTTGCCATTGAAAAATATATACAATGAAAACAAGATCGTGCAATACATTTCAGAGAATTACCGACAGAGGCGACAGAGGCGTTCAGCTTACAGCTTGCTCTGTTAAAAAGGCAATTAATAAGTATTAGAAACGTGTTAAAGACATACTAGCACCAGACTGACTTTCTCCTTACAACAGAAAGTAATATGACTCAAATTTACTTAATGTGATGTCCCCATTCTACTACACCCTTCTTGGGAAATGGTCCTAGGCCAGTGGAGGACCCCAGCAAAGGGCAGCATAATGGGGACAAATTTTAATTGAGGAAGGTGAACCTAATAGCGGTGCACTGACCAGACTAATCCAGCAGCATCAGCATCACCTGGTAACTTACTAGAAATGCAAGCTATCAACTTCCTCCCCTCAAGCCACTAAATCAGAGCCTGAAGGCGGGGCCACCCCCTCGTCCTCCACAAGCCTCCCTGCCTACTGCAGGGGGAGAGCCACTGGGTTAGAGAGGGGCTGAAACAGCTCAATTTTCCATTTTACCATCATGTAGTAAGCAATGGTAATGGCCAGGGAGAAAGGAAAGCACTGTGGCAGCGGACAGGAGCACTGCCATGAGGAAAACAACAGCATCTGAGGCTGCCAGGGAAGAGAAAAGACTCCTGTAAATGTGGGGCTCCAGGCCTGGGTCCCTGAAAGTAGAAGCTGGATACTGAAAAGCTGGGGGGTGTTCTCCCTAAACAAGAGAGAGGTAATTGAGAAAGTCTACAATTCTGTGGTTTGAGTACGGTCATAGCAACACCAGTAAGCAAAATTATCCCGGATTAATTAACTTCAAAAGATGTTGCGTGTGAGGTGCCTGAGGGACACGCAGGGAAAATATAGACTAAAATTTCCACTGGGACATCAGATAATGGATGAGATGAGTGAGCCAGGCAAGGCCTTGGGATGTGCCCACATTTAACGGGACAAAAGCAGAGACCAGAAAGAAGGGCTTAGACAACAGAAGGGGGGGAACCCCACTTCTCTCTCATCTTTTTGCTCCTGCCCATGGCAAGTAATAATAAAACTTACAGCAAAGGAACATTTCATTCATGCATTCATCAGGTCACCAAATCTTTACTGAATGCCTCTGTCCCGCACTGGGATACACAGGATGTGGGAAGCATGGTTCTGGTCCCCCAGCAGTTCTTCCAGAGATAACCAGTGACTGACTGGCTGTCCTCTGGATGTAAGCGTGGCATGAAAGTGTTCCCCAGTGAGAGCGAAATGTGTGCTTTGAAAACCAATGAACTTTGAGTCTATCTGCTTGTTGTACCATCTAGAAAATGACTGACTTTTCAAAAAGTCAGTCTTTAGTCTCAAAAGAGACAAAGCAAACGAGGGAGGCAGTTCCGTTGAAAACCAAGGAATCCTCCTGACGACACTATATGAAACTCTCCAAGGACTAGAGCACCTAGTTCTCAAGCTTACGTCCCAGGGACCCCATATTGGTTAAAAGGGAAGGAATCCTCGTGGCCAGGAACCCCACCTGGCAGAGTCCACGCAGGTGCAACCTCTTCTCCACGACACTGAATGCCCTGTCACTAGGGTCGCTCTCCCACCATCCTGACCACGGGAAGCAGTCACGGGCTCATGCTGGCATTTTACAACCCCAAGCCTAGCTGTTGCTGTTTAACAGCATTACCGGAGTTTAACTTGCATACCATAACACTTGCCCATGGTTTAAGTGTGCAAATCAGAAATTTTTAGTAAATGTAGAGAGTTAAAACCACCCCGCAATCTAAGTTTGGCACATTCCTACCAACCCGAAAAGATCCCCTGTGCCTAGGTGCAGTCACCCGGGACCCCCATCCCTACCGCCTGCCCCAGGCAACCACTCATTTACGTTCTGTCTCTATGGATTTGCCTTTTCTGGAATGTCAGATCAATGGAGTCGTACGACTTGTGGTTTCTGATGTCTGGCTTTTTTATTTAGCATACTGTTTTTTTGAGGTACATCCATACTGTTGTGTGTGTCAAGAGTTTGTTCCTTTTATTGCAAAATAGTGTCCTATTGTATGGACATAGCACATTTTGTGTATCCATTCACCGCTTTACAGACCTTGGGACTGTTTCCGCTAGGATGAGTAAGGCTGCCGTAAGCATCTGCAAACAAACGTCGCTTTTGAGGGAGAAAACAATGATCCGACTTCCAGCTCAGTGTGAGGGGCCAAGTTTTGTGACATGGTTGGCACAAGTTATTGGCATAGTGGTCTACAAACACCGAACAGCAGAGAAGAAAGAAAAACCAGCTCATACCAACAAGCGATCAGCTTATTGACCTCATTAACACCAGAAAATCATAATGTTTGCCAGCGGGCAAAGGGTGGCAATCCTACACGACTTCACTGCCCAGAAGCAGGACACCTGCTCTTCAGACGCCTACTCTACCAATTGCGGAAAACCTAAATGAGTCCGTGCAAAGTAAAGGAAGAATCAGGCAGCAGAAACGGGCTTTTTATCTGTGCAGCTCCCTCTGCCTGGACACCCTCCTTCCCTCCACTTTTCCACCAATCTCTCCCTGCTCAGTTTCACCTTACGGTTGTCCTTTGAGATTCCACTTCCTTAAAAGATCCTTCAGAGGGCACGTTCTGCATGGAGCACTGGGTGTTATGCACAAACAATGAATCATGGAACACTACATCGAAAACTAATGATGTAATGTTTGGTGATTAGCATAACAATAAAAATTTAAAAAAAAAAAAAAGATCCTTCAGAATGCGCCGTCTCCCCAGGCAAGCCATCCTGCTTCCTAAACTACACTATTTAATAGCATCGTAGGAGCTTTGGTTTGGGAAATATCTTTCCCCTTCAAATTGGTCGTTTTTCACACTGTTCACATTTTTTCAGTTGACTTGTCTATTCTGTTCACTAAGTCCTTCCTGGTTTTTCTCTAAGCCCGTAGTATGGCCCCTGGTGCTCAACAGATGTTAGAGAAAACGATGAGAGTGAATGATTGCTAAGTCACACCTCTGTGTGGAGATCCAGCCAACATCTGCCTGATAATTCTGTTTGGGGGGGAGGGTGGTTTCATAGCCACAATGAATGTTAAACTCACACGAAACATAACCCTTGACCCCCGTTCCCCACCCTTCCCCCAACCATGGTCCTTCCCAGATTACACATCTTGGAAAATGCCATGATCCTCAACCCAGATGCTCGAGTCACAACTCTTCACTTCTCCCTCTCCCTCACCCCCCACCCGCCCCTACTCAATCCATCATAAATCCTTCAGGCTCAACCTCCAGACTCCACCTCAACCCATACAGCTCGCTTTCTCCACCTCTACCTCCCTCTGACGGCCAGCTCTCATCCCAGTCCCCACACCCCTCTCCTCGGGAGTCCCCACGATTACCAGTGCAGTGTGTACCCTTCCAGACCCGTCTCTGCATACAGCTAGAAAACTGTCTGCAGCGTTAACATAAATAATACACTGTGTGTGTCATTCTGCAGTTTACCTTATTCACCCAACGATATAACTTGGGACCTTTCATGTTGCTATCTCATTTCTTTTTTTTTTTTATTAAAGATTTTTATTTATTTATTTGAGAGAGAGA